TGACCGTGGTCGATAAACATCGGCTGGGCTCGCCCATTCAGTTCCACGAGCTGGACAGCGAATATAGCGAAGGGGCTAGTAGTAGTGGGGTATGCAAAGTCTAGGAAAGTGATCAAGCCGGACAAGGCTTCGTGGTCGGAAACAGCAAGAACCAGTCCCATTTCGGTGGACGGGGGAGTGTGTTGGATAGTACGGTGCTTGCTACTCCGGTAAGGCCGAGTAGGATCGTAGAGCAAGCTGATGAACGGTGTTACTATACCCGTGACCATAATCGTATGCAAAACCATGATAGTAAAACCGGGTAAGCCGACTATACGTTTGTCGACCCAATGCAAGTAGAGCAAGAGATCGATCTGGCCTCTCAAGTTCATCATGAGGCCAAGCGTGAGACTGTCCCTAGTTGGGACTTTAAAGAAGAGAGCGGCAGCAACGGTGGAGACAAACTTGGTGATGAAGCTAACGATGGCCAGGTAGAGGAGAGGAGAGAGCTGATCTGGCCAAGTCTCGTCGTTTATGTAATAGACATTCGTGTTGAGTCCCACCCAACCATAGGTGAATGGCAGCAAGAATTCGTGGATGAATGACTCGCTTCGAACAACCAAAGTCGAACTTAATGGAGGACCGTGAGGGACAAGCAACCCTAGCCAAATTGGTCCTGTGGCTATAGCCAAACCGAACATGTCCGTGAGGAAACAAGATACAAGAACACCCATGAGGATCATGACAATGTAGTTTTGGTCCACTAGTTTGCCCTCAGGCGTTTGTGTGACAACCCATTCAAGAGCTCGTTTCACAACCAAAAGCATAAATGCAGCGAAAACAACCGCCGATACAAGAAAAAAAATTACCGCGGTAGTGCCTCCACTGTCAGCATGTGTCATAGCCTCAAACACAAGAATCATGTAGATCGCTACCATGTCTCCTAGAAGAGCCACCGACATGGCGAACTTGCCCACCTCGGAGTTGAGAAGGTTCATATCTCTCAAAACAGTGTAGATGACAGGGAAAGAAGTGAAGGACAAGCCAAACACGATTCCTCCAATGGAAGAAGGGTTCTTCATGTTTTTGTGCATTTTGTTTCGCATGGCAATCCCCATGACTGTCACACAGATCATGGGGACTAAAACGCCAATGGCAGCAATGTACTTGTGCTTTCTTGGTGCCCTCCAAATGGCTGCAACATCGGTCTTGGCTGCGGTGAGGAAGAAGAAGTAAAAGAATCCTATCAATCCCAAGTTTGCGAATAAGTAATTCGCTATCGGTGGGAACAAATAGTAATTGAAATTCCGGCTTCCCCCGAACAAAGATGGTCCTATCATCATTCCACCCTTCAAAACAAAACCAAAACTCATTCATGTATTTTTCAAATCTAAAAGTATATCAACTACTACGGTAGAAGTAGAACCTCTATAAATTAACATACTTCGATAATTCAATAAATGTTTTTGATCATGAATTAATTTTACTAACC